CACACACACACACACACACACACACACACACACACACACACACACACACACACACACACCAACAACGTTATTACTCTGCCTTTGACTTCAGCTGCAGGCAGTGAAATCAGTACAAAAAATCCCTTGTCTTTTTGCAGAGCAGCAAAGGTAAAAATATTTCTCAGCTTTGATCAGATGTATTTGGATATCTTCACTGCTACAAGGACACTAATAACAAGTGGAAAACTTATTTTTTTTATTTGCTGAACTCATAATTTGAAGCATCAAACTATCCTGCTTCAGTTATTTTTAGCTTTTTGTTCTCAGCCTGTTTGGATCTGTTTTTGAAAGCTGTATCCGCCTTCCAGTTCAGCTTGCATTATATAACAAATATACTCTGAATACTGTAATACATTATATTTTTGATATTTTAATACATTACTTAGATCTATTCATATCTGTACAGAAGATTGGAATAATTAATTTCCATTTCAAGTCAACATAAGTTTTCAGTGTCTGCCTCTGCTGCCAAACAAATACATTTTAGTAGAGCTTGGACTAATAAACACCAAACTGTATATACTAATAGCTCAATGTTTGTAATTCTGACTGCATTAAAAACAATTTTGTAATAGACAAAGTTGCTTAACATATTGGCAGCCATCTTGAAGCAGACCAAGTTATCAAAAAAACAAAACAAAAACAAAAACCAAAACAAACAAGGAACAGCTATCACCCTTCGCCTTTCTAGCCGTAGTGTCAGACTAATCCTGTTATGATGATAAATGAAATACATTACAGTACATCCAATGATAACTTTTTGAAAGTTTCATTGAATTCCATCTAGTTGTTTGTGGGATTTTTTGCTAACAGAAAAACAGGATACATTTCACCAGTAAATGATGAAATTTTAAGCAAAAAAAATGCTGTCCAAAGATTAGTATTTTGTGTCTATGATGCAAATAGCTCCCTGCTAGTATCATGCAAATTTCAGAAGAATATCTATTAAATTGACATAATTATAGACATTTTGGTATTTTCCAAGGTGAGCTTGCTGTGGCAGCCATCTCAACTTAGATTGTATTTAAATGTTAATCAGTAATAGATGTACATTGGATGAACGCTTCCTGAAAGTCCTGAAGGTTCTGCTAACAGACAGACTTAGTTCGCTTCAAACTGTAAATAGCAAAAATTTATTGGTGCTCAAAATGTGCTAAAGATCCTTTTGAGCTACAACCAAGTCAAATCTTACATGTACTTCGTTACAGCTATTTTTTGTTTCTTCCTCTGAGCTCTTCTCGAATCAATTTGACTACAAATGTTAAGTTGTTTATACTGTATACCAACCAGACTGAATAAACATTTAAATTACATCATTTGCTGCTAGTCAAATAACTCAAATAAAGAAGTTTATCTGTTATCTTAAAGTAACTAAGTCAACCTCATTTAGATGCTTATCAAATGTTAGATTTTGTTTTCAGTTTTAACATATTTATCCAGGGATATATATTCATCCATCCATTCATTCTCTTCCACTTGTTTTGAGTTGAGTCGTGGCGGGCAGCAGCTTGACCAGGGAGGCCCAGACCTCTTTCTTCAGAGCCACTTCTTAAAGCTTTTCCGGAATTTATTCTAATAAATATATCTTATAGTCAAATTTTACATAAAATCACTCCATTTCACAAGGTTCTGATTGGATTAAATACTTAAAAAGTATAAAATATGAACAATTAATACTTAACAACGTCCTGATGCATCTCAGTAATCCAGGTAGAAAAAATCAAAAAGAAAAAAAGGTAACTTTCTCACCTGTAAAACTGCATGAAGAGTTTTTCTTAGAAGATCAAAAAGAAAAGATAAGCAGGTCCTCTGGATGGTTCTTCTTTAGTGAAACGTTTCGTCTCTCCTCCAAGAGACTTCTTCAGTCTGAGAGTTTCAGGTGAACTCAGCCTTATAAGCTCCGCCTCCACATGGACAAACAGGTTAGTCACATGCAAAAGAGGGTCATCGGCTAACAATAGGCTTGATTAGCTCTATTGTTCATAGAGGGCCATGTGCCCCATCAGCTGACTTATTGGTTTGGATGTTTCAGCTGTGGTTATTTGGTGTTGTGTTACAGTATGTGTATGTAGTGAATGCAAGCGGGGTTCAATGTCCCTTTTTTTGTCTCTCTTTGCCTATTTGTGTTGGTATCATTGGGGCCCTGATTCACACCTTTTGAATTTCTATTTCTGCTATTTCTACTGAATTTAGAATTGAGTAGCGTTAATCACAAATAAAGTTACAAGTTTGATCATCAATATTGCCTTAAGAACAAGGAGAGACCCAGCTAAACCCACTACATTCTGTAGCAATATTTCATTAAAGTTTCAAAATTTGCAAAACCTTTTTTTAGATTATTTTTACAAACGTAGAGTCCAATCATCACAAAACTCACCATGCTCTATCTAGTTAGTATGTTGATTTTAAGTTTCAAAGGAAAAGTAAAAAAATGTTAAAATGTGTGTGTGCCCCCTGTGAGCAAAATGTACAGTATGAATCAGGGCCCAAATGATACCATCACAAATAGGGAAGGAGGGACAAAAACAAGGGGACGTTGAACCCCGCTTGCACTCACTACATACACATAACAAAACTCCAAATAACTCCAGCCGAAGCATCCAAACCAATAAGTCAGGTGATGGGACACATGACCCTCTATGAACAATAGGGCCAATCAAGCCTATTGTTAGTCGATGGTCCTCTTTTGCATGTGACTAACCTGTTTGTCCAGGTGGAGGCAGTGCTTATAAGGCTGAGTTCACCTGAAACTCATCAGACTGAAGAAGTCTCTTGGAGGAGAGACGAAACGTTTCACTAAAGAAGAACCATCCAGAGGACCTACTGATTTTTCTTTTTGAATCCTTAATGACAGTAAAACAAGTAAATGTAATTTGTTATCTTACACCTGTGGTAGTACCTGAGCCTCTTTCTCTACATTTACTCTGAGCACTTTCAGAAACCGCTTGAGATGACACATAACATCATCTTCAATGTGTGTCCAAAATGGTTTCAACTCCATGATTTCTCAACACACGTCATGTACAATACGTACCCAAAATGTATTTTCCCCCAAATATTTCCTAGTACATTTGTACCTGCATCAAGCAGCTTTTTCACGACACCAAAGTTGGAGTGAAAAACACTGTAGTGAAGCGCTGTGTTTCCATTGCCGTCAGTCATGTTGACGATGTACCGCAGCACTGAGGGCGAAATCATCCGAAACGTGGACAAGTAGTCGCCTACGACGTCAGGAGCTGCTGACCTGTGGCTGGACACAGAGAACCACTCCTGTTGGACTGCGCACAGACTGTCCTGCTGCAAAGACATGTAACAAAAACACAGTTTTACAAGCTGCAAACATCAATCAATCATAATCATCAATCTGTTTGCAGAGAAACTCATTGACTTTGATAAAAATCAGAAAATTTTGTCACTATTATTGTAATCAAATATTGTGAGAATGTAACTGAAAGGAGCTTTATAAAGAAGTGACTCAAGAAAAAAAACAATAGTAGTAAATCATAATGTTAAGAATATTTATATAAAGGCACCAAAAATAATTTCATTCTTGGTGCAAATTTATAATTAATTTATTATTATAGCAGTAAATTCACTTTCACTGAGGAAAGGTTGGGGTTGAAAACTGCACTGCAGACACATCCCTGTTCTCCTTGTATCCGGATGACCAGTCATATATTTTTACACACTCTGCTGCAGCTCACACTCATCCAGGGATGGAAGTAGAAACATGCTGTAAAATGTGTTTTTGTGAGGATTTGTCAGTCCTCAAACAGAGAACAAAAAAATTAATAAATAAAAAAACTGACCATGTCTCTGCTGCTCAGAGCCGTGGTCTCACTCAGGTGCATCTTCAGAGCTTGGCAGGCAGAAAACATATTTTCACTTAACTTACACCTGAGGACAGAAAAAATCTGTTAAGTTCAGACTTTCAGAGCTTGTGAAAACTTTTAATTGCAGCAATCCCTGAAAAACAGACTTTGCTTTCCTGGGGGTGCAAAAAAGTCCACCCTTTTTCAGTTCTGTGGTTTAAGGTGTATAGACAATAATAAAATGGTCTGATTCTTATTCAAACTGAAACTAAAATGTAAAATACAGAACAGATTTCACCACATTGTGAAAATCAAAAATGAAGGCAAAAACAAAACCACGCAAAAAAATGTGTGTGAAAAAGTCCAGGCTTGTTGCTTCTATGGGACTCAGCCAGGTGCTTCTGATGCAATGTATTGAATAATTGATAATCATATGCACTGAAAAAAACTTGTAAGATGTACTTGAAAAAATCCTCGTAACAATTTGCACTAACGTTTGTTAAGTAAATTTAAATGCTACAAATTCATGTAATATTTACTTAACAAAAGTAAGTGCAAATTGTCATGAGGAATTTTTCTAGTAAATCTTACAAGTTCTGTATAACAGTGCACATGCATCGAGCACAATACTGTAACATGACATCTCACAGCTACAGAGAGGTGTAGCTC